GCATGATAATGCATCATTGCTACGCCCACTGAGTATGGAGGAGGTTCGAGCCGTGGTGTTTCAGATGCATCCTGACAAGTCTCGGGGTCCAGATGGTTTTGGGCCGGGGTTTTTTCAATATTTCTGGGACATTGTTGGGGGGGGGGGGGGGGGGGGGGGGTGTTACGGCTTTCTGTAGGGGTTTCCTGGACTCGGCCAAGCTCCCACGAGGTGCTAACGATACTCTTGTTGTTTTGATTCCGAAGAAGCCCAGGCCGAAGTCTATGAAGGATCTTCGCCCGATAGCTTTGTGTAATGTCATTTATAAGATTGTGGCTAAGGTGTGTGCTAATCGTTTAAAACCCTTGTTGCAGAAGCTAATTTCGAATGCTCAAAGTGCCTTCGTACCGGGGCGCCTAATAACTGACAATATCATGCTAGCCTACGAGGTCCACCATTTCTTGAAACGAAAGACCCAGGGGCGTGAGGGGGTGGTGGCGTTGAAGCTTGACATGTCCAAGGCCTATGATCGGGTGGAGTGGGAGTTTCTTCGGGCGGTGATGCTTAAGATGGGGTTTGGTATTCGTTGAGTCAATATTCTGCTTGAAACGGTAACTTCAGTATGGTACCATATCTTACATGACCAGCGGCATTTGGGACCAATTATTCCAGGTAGGGGTCTTCGTTAGGGGGACCCGCTATCCCCGTATTTGTTTATCTTTGTTGCAGAGGGGTTGAGTGCCATGATTGAAAGAAATATGTCTGCGGGCCGATTGCATGGAGTTTCGGAAGTGAGGGGTGCACCTTTTGTCTTTCATCTTCTCTTTGCAGATGACTCCTTCTTGTTTCTTCGGGCGAATGAGGAGGAAAACGTTCAAACAAAGTATGTGATGGACACTTATGCCAGGGCTTCTGGCCAGCATATTAATTATGATAAATCTGCTGCATGTTTTAGTGATAATGTGCCACAGAATATAAGGAATGAGGTGGTTGATGTTCTGGGTGTGGAGGAAGGAGAAACAAGTGGAAAGTACTTGGGTTTGCCATCCCTAGTGGGAAGGAGAAAGAAGGCCATACTGGGGTTTCTGAAGGATCGTATACTCACCAGGGTTCGTTCTTGGAATGTCAAGTTCTTGTCAAGAGCTGGAAGGGAGGTTCTATTGAAAAATGTTTTGCAGGCGATGCCGGTGTATGCTATGATGGTGTTTCTGCTTCCCTTGGGCCTTTGTCGGGAAACAGAGGTAATTATGAATCAGTACTAGTGGACCGGTAGTGTGGGAAATGGCCGTGGAATAAGGTGGCGATCATGGGAGGGTTTGTCAAGGCCTAAAGCGTGTGGTGGAATGGGCTTTCGTCGTCTACATGAGATGAACAAAGCTCTCATTGGAAAGCAGGCTTGGAGGTTGATTTCCAACCCCACAAGTCTAGTGGCACGTGTGTTTAAGTCACGCTATTACCCTGACTGTGATTTTTTTGATGCCAGGGAGGGGAGCAATCCATCCTACATATGGTGGGGTATGCTAGAAGTTAAAGGCTGCTTGAGGGAGGGCTGTCGAAGGGTGATAGGCGATGGTAATGGGACTATAATAGGCAGGGATCCTTGGCTACCAGTGGATGATAACCCGTTTGTGGAAACAGAGTTGCATCAAACAATTTATCAATCCCCGGTGTCCTCCCTGATGAATTTACACGGTACTGGTTGGGATGTGGATTGTGTAAAGGATATTTTTAATGCCTGTGATGCTAACTTAATTTTGAATATTCCTGTCAGTATCCGGAAGCCACGTGATCAGTGGTTTTGGCAATGGGAACAGAAGGGTGCGTATTCAGTTAAGTCATGTTATAAGCAGCTTACTTTGGTGGCCGCAAGTGACCGCCCATGGGCAAGTATTTGGAGTTTGCATGTCCATCCTAAGGTGAAGAACTTTTGTTGGCAGTTAGCGTCCCTCTATCTTCTTACACGTGATATATTGTTGACTAAGAATGTAGCATGCTTATTGAATTGCCATATGTGCAGACAAGTACAGGAGTCGGCCATGCATCTTTTTGTCCAGTGTGGGGAGGCAGTTCGGCTTTGGAACAAGCTGGAGATGCCGCATGTAAGTGCCTACGATGGTAATCATCTCGGTGACTGGTTTTTTTTGGGCTTTGGGCACATTAGATTTATTTTCGAAGTCAAAGTTTGTTATGGCTTGTTGGGGTGTGTGGAGCGGTAGGAATGAGAGTGTGTGGAAGGGCATTGATTATGATTTGTGTTCTATGTTGCATAGGGCGATGGTGTTTCTGGATTGTTGGAGAAACGCGAACAAGAAGTTGCCAGTTGGAGCTGCCCACACAGATGCTGATGCCATGGCTACTTGGACTAGGCCAGTGCATGGGAGGCTACAACTTAATACAGATGCTGCGCTACAAGTAGAAGATAATGCTATGGGTTTCGGACTTTCGGCTGGGTCTTGCGTGATGATGGTGGAAATTTCCTGGATGCTAAGAACATGAGAATGCCCGGGTTGTGTACGGTTAGGGAGGCGGAGGTGCTTTCTATTCGGGAGGCGTTGAGTTGGTTAAGGGGCACAGGTTTGGGTGCGGTGGACGTGGAAACAGATTGTCAGGTTGTTTTTAATGCTATTACTTCAGTTTCTTTTATTTCAGTTTTTGGTTAGTTAGTGGATGATGTAAAGAATTTGGCATCTGAGATTGAGGATGTGAAATTCTGTCATGTTAAGCGATCTGCGAATTGTGCTGCCCACACTATTGCTAGGGAGGCCTTTTCTGTGTCAGGTTGCGATGAGTGGTTGGATGAACCACATGCCTTTCTTGTTAACATTCTTGATTCTGATTTAATGAATTAATCTTCTTCTTCTTAAAAAAAAAAAACAACTAGAGTTGCTCCAAAAAGGAAAAGTGGGCCTAAATCCAGTGCACACTCTATAATAATAATTACCTCACAACACATTTTAAAATTTGTTAATAAAAATAAAAAATTTGATTTATGATAAAGCCCACAACTGCTACTCAAAGGTGAACTACTCTAGGTGGAACTCACCTTGTAACCACAAATATATAAATTAGTTTAAGTTGACATAATTGACCATCAAGAAGGACAATAGATAACTCTTACATACATTCAATTTTATAACTTTATGGTTATCAAGTCAATTGTGTAGTCAACATAGTTGAGATTCTCCCATAAGAATAAAAATATAATAAGTCGAGATGAAAATAAATAAAAATATGGTTTTGGTTGGAACACAAATCCACAATTAGGGATAACAATTTCAATCTACCCTGTGGATATCCACCCAAATCCACCATGCATGGGTCAGAATTTTTTGAATGATAGTGGGTGGTGGGACGGGTGGGTCTTAAAAAAATAAACTCACTGTGATTGGATTGGATTCAGGTTCTATATATAAAACCCGTCTAAAATCTCACCCGACCCACCATATATATATATATATATATATATATGTGTGTGTGTGTGTGTGTGTGTGTGTGTGTGTGTGTGTGTGTGTGTGTGTGTGTGTGTGTGTGTGTGTGTGTGTGTGTGTGTGTGTGTGTGTGTGTGTGTGTGTGTGTGGGCACGCTCTAATGTGAACGGTCGCCCAAGATAGAAATAAAAACCACTCACAGCCGTCCACGTGTCCAGATCAACGAATCAGATGTAATTTTAAAAAAACGATGCAGTGGTATTTTCGTAAATAACTTAAACTTTGATGCAAGTAAATGTGTTATAAGTACAAGTAGTTGGTGCACCTTTGCAAGTAAAATGTGCAAGTAAAATCACTTACCAGTGCAACTATTTTCACCTACAAGTGCAAGTAATTTACCCTGTTAACATTCGTGCACCTAGGTGCAACTAATTATAACATTAGGTGCACCTAGTGATAACGTTTGGTGCACTTAGTATTGATGCTCAGTGTAAATTTTACTTGCACCTGTAATACATTTTACATGCACTTGTAATACATTTTACTTGCACTGAGGTGCACTATATGAAACTGCTACTTGCACTTCGATGTTCAATTATTTACGAAAATGTCGCCACGTTTTATTTAAAAATTAGTATTTCTCATCCGTTAGATCTAGACTGGTGGACGGATAACATGCGTTCTCATTTCTTTCCTGAACGGGCAGTTCGCACCTGAACGTGTCCATATATATATATATATATATATATATATATATATATATATATATATATAATAGTAAAATAGATATTATCATGTAGTTAATTATAAAAGTTTCTATGACATTGGTTAATTTTTTACTATTTTTATATCTAGACTACTAAGTTTATTTTTAAAAATTAACAATTTAGTAATTATATTTGAATATTTTTATTATTTTATATTTTAGCACAAGTGTATAACTAATGAATTTTATTATTCTATTATGTTTAAGTACTTTAAATATCACCAAGACTATGTGGTCTAATGGTACCTAGGTTGGACTTCTATTTGGAAGGTTGTAAGTTGAAGCCTCTATGAAGAGATTACTAAATTGTAATAGAGCTAGTAGCATTAAAAAAAAAATTAAATATCATTCCTTTTAAAAAAAATTAATAAGTGGTGGGTCCCTGTACTCACTCTCAATTTCTACTCCCTATGATTTGACATGTTTTGCTTGCTTAATTTTATAGGGTATTATGATTATGATGTTTATTTATTTATTTTTTTCTTTCTCCAATCAAATTTGAACACAAGTGGACGTAAATGTTGGGAGTATAAAATACATGTAGTTTTCAAAAATATATCCTATGCAATTTGGGAGTAGGGACGAGTGAAAATATATAAGGTGGGTGGGGATGGATGTATCCCGCGGGACCCATTGTTGTCCCTAACCAGTAACCACAATTGTGAAAGCCGAATCAAAAAGGATTTTGTCGTTACTGGAATACATGGGGCCTGAACAACAACAGCACACTATAGTCTATACATTTGGCAAAATGGTGCATTATATATTGTGGATCACGTGCTGCGGCGAACGGCAATCTGTGTCTTACAACGACACTATAAATAAATGAATCCCCCCACCATAGTTTCAACTTTCACGGCTGCCGCCATTTCTTCCGTATCAACCCGCTACCAGACACCTGGGGCTCTGCAAACACTTGAGCTTCACTGCAGAGCCTACAATAATGGCGTTCTCGTCTTCGATTTCTCCGTGCAAGCTCTCCTCCAACCCATTATTGGGAGCCGCCAATGTCCGGCCTAAAGCTAAGAAGACGCCCCCCGCCGACATGCACAAGATCTGCCCTTTCTCTGCCCTCCCCCGCTCCGCTTTCTCTAAGTAAGCTCAATAACCAATGCTTTTCTGTGTTTGTGGACTGGTGTGCTTCATTATGCGCGAGTAGAGATGCTCACGTTGTGTTTGTCAGTTTGTTCATGCGTGGTCAATGAAGTTTCAATATTTTCCATTCTAGTCCCGCAAGTATATGATTTTTTTTTTTTTTTTCATTTATGGTTTTAAAAATAGACTTTTTTATATTTGTATATTAAATAATTTTACGGTGCTAATTTTGGTCGTCAAAATTGTAGTTTTTTTTTTCATTTCTCACTCCCAGTCGCCCAATGAAAGGCTGAACCTTTAGTTCCAAATTTTTGCAGAGATAAAAGGAATTGAATTCTGAACTCTATTCTTTTCCTTGTGCAAAAATTGGGGAATTAGAGATTAGAATATACAATTTTTGATAGTCATATGACAGAAAGGCCTATTGAAAATTAAAATTGGTAGATTTTAAAGTCCTGAATTAAAACCTTAAAAGCCACTGCAATTGGTATCAAAAGTTGGAAGTAAATAAATAAACATAAATATAAATAAATAAATAAATAAATAAATAAATATATATATATATATATATATATATATATATATATATATATATATATATATATATATATATATATATATATATTTATTTATTTATTTATTTATTTATTTATTTATTTGTATATTTATTTATTTATTTGTATATTCTGGTGATAAATTTACTTGCTTAAATTTATTAATCAAGTCATTTGGATTTATTCAACTTCTATTTCTTTTTTCTTTATTTTTTAAAATTTTAATTTTTTAACCTTTCTATTTATTTTCTCAAATTATCACCCTGTTTATCAATTTCCATCATTTTCTTGCTCATTTGTTTTACATTATAGTTTGTTTGTTTGTTTGGTAGATTTTAAAGTCTTGAATTAAAACCTTAAAAACCACTGTAAATGGTATCAAAAGTGGAAGTAAATAAACATAAATATAAATAAATAAATTATATATATTTGTTTCTTTATTTTTTGAAATACTCATGATTCGTTACAAGGTATATCTGTTCTATTCTATAATTCCTCAAACATTTTCAACTCAAAGAATTTAAGCCTCCACCACCGGGTTTCGAACCTATGACCAGTTATTTATTTATTTATATATTCTGGTGATAAATATACTTGCTTAAATTTATTAGTCAGGACATTTGGACTTATTCAACTTCTATTTCTCTTTTCTTTATTTTAAAAATTTTAATCTTTTAACCTTTCTATGTTTCCAATATTTTCTCAAATTATCACCCTGTTTATCAATTTCCATCATTTTCTTGCTCATGGAACTCATCTTTAATCATTAAGAACCAATTGATCACACGGTTGAAGTCTAAATTATCCAAAACATTATTAGATTATTTTTAAATGGACTTAACATTATTTGACAGTTCACACGGCTTAATTATTTCACACATATATCCAAGTATCTGACATGTGGGTCTTGAGAACCACATAAGTGATAGTATTATGGGTTTTGATGGACATGAGTATTGTATTTGACCTCAAAGACTTGTCTTGTTTTATTCAAACCTTAGATATCAACTTTCCATGTCATGTTTGAATGGAGCCTTGGGTTCAGGAAGCAACCTTACATGGTTTATATTTGTGTTGAAGTGTTACTGTTGGCTTCTTGTTCTGGGAAATTGAGTTAACTGATCTACAATACAGCTAGAAATAAAGTGAAAGTATATTCAGTTTGGATTTTGGAAATTAATGGGCTACCACTTGGTTGTGGGGAATATATGTACAGAGAACTCCTAGCGTTGCAAATTTCTGTTATCCTTTCAATGATGATCATATCATTAGAATTTACTAAAAGGAAAAATAAGGGTAATATTTGAATGTATTTAGCTGTAACATAGACATTGACAATGTTCCAGTCTGCAGTAAGAAATTGTGTTTGGTATCAGTGTTATATTTGAATGCAACTCATTGTAGTGCATGCTCATTACTTTTTCATTATTTGATTATCAGACTTGAATTTAATACCCATGGGGGAAGAAGAGAATTATCAAGTTTCAGCGTATATTCTGCTATTATTAGCCCAGGTTAGTTTTTACTCAACATTAGTTTTGATTATGTTTTAATTTGTGGAATCATGGGTGCCTTTTATCCATTCATTGTAATGTTTCAACAGAGCGCACTGCTGAGGAAACTATAGAGAAAATTCAGCTTCCAAAGGGTGATAGTTGGGGTGTACATAAATTTGGGGGTACCTGTGTGGGAAACTCAGACAGGATCCGCAATGTTGCAAATGTTATTGTTAAAGACCAATCAGAAAGAAAGCTGGTTGTTGTGTCTGCAATGTCAAAAGTGACGGATATGATGTATGATCTGATTCATAAAGCAGAGTCCAGAGATGACTCATATATAACTGCATTAGATGCTGTTCTTGAAAAACATAAGTTAACAGCAGTAGATCTGCTAGATGGAGATGAGCTTGCTAGTTTTTTATCTAAGCTCCAAGGTGACATCAAAAACCTCAAAGCTATGCTTCGTGCAATATACATTGGTATGTTGTTTGCTCTGTGCTCGCCCCCTATTGCTTCCTTACTAATTGCATATTAAATTATTAATCTAATTTAGTTGAATGAATGTTGCTTTATGATTCCTTACTGGTTCATTGTTTTGCAGCTGGTCACGCAACAGAATCTTTTTCAGCTTTTGTTGTAGGCCATGGGGAATTGTGGTCGGCTCATTTATTGTCATGTGTTGTTAGAATGGTGGGTCCAATTCCAATTGTTGATTTGCCTTTTTGGGGTTGCTCAAACTAAAATTTGTTCCACAATTTGCATCATAATTTCCTTTTTTATTACTGCAGAATGGAGTGGACTGCAAATGGATGGACACTAGGGAGGTCCTTATTGTGAATCCTTCTGGTTCGAATCAAGTTGATCCTGATTATTTGGAGTCACAAGAAAGACTTGAGAAATGGTACTCTAGGAATCCATCTAAAACAATCATCGCAACTGGCTTTATAGCCAGCACTGCTCAGAACATCCCTACAACTCTGAAAAGGGATGGTAGCGACTTTTCTGCTGCTATTATGGGTGCTTTATTTAAAGCACGCCAAGTAACTATCTGGACAGATGTTGATGGTGTATATAGTGCAGACCCAAGAAAAGGTTTGTCCGTACTTGATTAATCCTATTTGAACTATTTATCATTATCAACTCTTTAGCATCTGTTGGCTAAAAGTTATTTCATTTAGTGGTACATGAACTATTGGTATATTAAACATGGTTTCTGTTGCTTACTAAAGAAGTTGCTTATTTGTACAGTTAATGAGGCAGTGATACTGAAGAAATTATCTTATCAAGAAGCTTGGGAAATGGTGATACCATAATATTTTTTCTAGATTTCAAAGTTTTGATACTTCTATCGAAGACTTCTTAACCGCAAAGTTGTCATTTTTGTGCAGTCATACTTTGGTGCCAATGTCTTGCATCCTCGGACAATTGTTCCAGTTATGCAATATGATATTCCGATTGTTATAAAAAATATCTTTAACCTTTCTGCTCCTGGAACAATGATCTGCCGGTCTAATGAGACCGAGTTTGAAGATGGAGAGAAACCAGAAGCTCTTGTCAAAGGATTTGCAACAATAGACAATGTGGCACTAGTGAATGTTGAAGGGTAAGAATGTAATTCTAATGTTCTGCTTACTTCTTTTGTTCAAATCTAGTGTAGTGCCAGTTCTCAAATCTCATTGTATACTGCTACTTGGAAACATCCTGTGTAGAACTGGAATGGTTGGTGTCCCAGGTACAGCTAGTGCAATTTTTAATGCTGTTAAAGATGTTGGAGCTAATGTAATCATGATATCACAGGTATCATCATCACTATCTAATATCTATCTGATTTTAATATATAACTATCATATAAAATCTAACGTAATTGGTGCTATGCAGGCTAGTAGTGAGCATTCTGTATGTTTTGCCGTGCCTGAAAAGGAAATTAAAGCTGTTGCTGAAGTTTTAGAGTCTAGATTTAAGCAAGCATTGGGTGTTGGGCGAATCTCTCAGGTTTTGTTGCTTCCTAAAATTCCATTATCTGTGTTTGTATTATTATATTTTTCATTTGTCATGTTGCCTATTTTGCAGTGTTGCAAAAATCCCGCCTAATCGGCGCCTAGGCGCTAGGCGCTGGCTGGCCGCCTAGCGTATCCACCACAATCGGTGGCCGCCTAGGCGCTGACCGTCTAGGCCTCCTAGGCACCGAGTAGGTCGCCTAGTCGGCCGATTAGCTATTGTTCCCTTCTTTTTTAAATGGGTTATTTCACTTAAGACGACATCGTTTTGAGCGAAATAACCCTAAATTGTTCAAACTCTAGATGTTTTTTAGGTTAATATTTAATATTTTAGTATTAACTATTAAATTATTAAATAGTTTATAATTATCAAGTTTTAAAAAATTAAAAAATTTTAAACAAATTTTTAAAAACTATAAAATAAAGTAAAAATACACGGCGCCTTGGCGCCAATTGATCGCTGCCTAGGCACTAGGCGCCCCCCGAGCGCCTAGCAATTTTTTCAACCATGCTATTTTGGTTTGTCTGTTATAGAGCATTATATACTGACAAACACTAATATAAGCTTATCCATCAGCTGTGCATTCTTTTATATTTGTTCTTCATCCATACAATTACAAATAATATTAAGTTTTCTGGTTTCCTTTATAGCACCTTTCCTCTGTTCAATTTGTGTTTGTATAGTGATGCTTAAATTGCATATTAAATTGAAATACTTGTCAGATTTCAGTTATACCAAACTGTAGCATTTTGGCCGCAGTTGGCCAGAGAATGGCAAGTACCCCTGGAGTCAGTGCTACCCTTTTCTCCGCACTTGCAAAGGTTGGAAGTTCATAGCTTCTTTGATTTGTTGTTGTTATTATTATTATTATATTATTATTATTGTTACGGAGTATTATTTACAGTCCAATATTATCATGCAGGCTAACATCAATATCCGTGCTATAGCTCAAGGTTGCTCAGAGTATAATATTACAGTAGTTATAAAGAAAGAAGACTGTGTGAAGGCTTTACATGCTGTGCACTCAAGATTTTATTTGTCAAGAACCTCAATTGCGGTGGGCATTATTGGACCTGGGTTGATCGGTGGTACTCTGCTTAACCAGTTCAAGGACCAGGTATATCATTGGAGTTGTATAGGGTTTACTATTTTCTCTATTACTAAAATCTTTTATGGATTAAAAGATATGGTTTCTTGATTGATTTGTTACAGTATCTGTAGCTATTTATGGATTATGCTGTTTATGAATTTCGTCCAAGAAAGATTAAGTTTAAGCAATTGTAGGATCTACAACATAGTTTTGCTTGGATTTTACTGCTACTTGCAATGACTTGCTTTCAGATTTCAAATAACTGTAGACTCGTGATTATCGTATTCTTAAAATATTGATCTTATGAGTTGTGCCATTTTCATGTGTAACAAAACCTTAATCTTCAGGTGGTTTGAAACTGTTAAGCGTCCGACATTGAAAAAATAAGAGAGAACATATGGGTTTATAAGGCCATGGGTTAGACTAGCTAACTGATTGGATTCAATCTTATAGTGTGGTTTGGCCCATGTACATTTATATATTGTTGAGGTGATTCAGTTGTGGATTGACATATACTATGAAACTTTCTTTACAAAAACCCGATTTCCTTACTTTCTTGAATCCTATTATTTTCTACCTTTTTGGATATCTCTGGACAAGAAGTCATTCTCAAGGATCAATTGCATTAGCTATTTTCGATGCTTAACCTCTTTTGTTTTTCTGTGGCAGACCGCTGTCCTAAAGGAAAAATTTAACATTGATTTGCGTGTTTTGGGTATCATTGGACTGAATACAATGCTATTGAGTGAGACGTAAGTATTGCATACTCATGGGATCACCTTCTTCTTAAATGCTTAGTAAATCAGTATTGAAGACACTAGGTTTTCATCAACCATGATGTCGGTCCCTTCAATTTCTCACTGTTTAAAGACATTTTCTTCTATTGGAACTTTGGAAGCTAATAAAAACTATCCATCATAGAGAAACTAACTTTGATGAAATAACACCCTTCTTAATGCTTGTAGGGATATAGACTTGTCAAGTTGGACTGGCCTGCTAAAGGAAGGGGAAAAGGCCGACTTAGAGAAGTTCGTTCAGCATGTGAGTGAAAATCACTTCATACCAAATACTGTTTTGGTAGACTGTACAGCAGACGCTTACATTGCGAGCCACTACTATGAGTGGTTGCATAGAGGAATACATGTGATCACGCCTAATAAGAAAGCAAATTCGGGACCCCTCGATCAGGTAAAGTACTACGCTTTCTTGCTGTCCTGCTACACACGAGTGGAAACATTCTCGAGATCCTTTGTTGAATTTTCTTTCGAAATCAAATTCAGTACTTGAAGCTGAGAGATTTGCAACGCCAATCATATACACATTACTTTTATGAGGCCACTGTTGGAGCAGGTCTTCCAATTATTAGCACCTTACGTGGCCTTCTGGAAACCGGGGACAAGATATTGAAGATTGAGGGCATATTCAGGCTAGTAATACTTAGCTTATTTACATGTTCTTGAGACTTGGGTCACCTTAATGTTGGTCCAATTTCTCGAATTGGTAGTGTACATATCTGCAGCATCAATTGGTGTGGAAACTTAGTATTTTTTATACTGTCATTGCTTCATTTTGCAGTGGAACTCTTAGCTACATATTCACCAACTTCATTGGGGAACGGGCTTTTAGTGAGGTGGTGAAGGAGGCAAAAGACGCAGGTTTTACAGAACCAGACCCAAGGGATGACTTGTCTGGAACAGATGTTGGCAGAAAGGTACCAGGCAGTGAAAGTTGTTGATCATGTCTACATTGCGGGTGGAATCACTTAAGCTGCTATTCGATTCGTTTAAAGCCTTTTTCTTCTATTGGAACCTTCAATTTCTCACTGTTTAAAACTCTCTATATATTTCTCTTACTCCTTCCCAAACTACACACTGCCATATATATACATGCTAAACACAATGTAGAAGACCCTTCACATCCTTACTTTACTATCCATGGCCCTTCACATCCCTTTGGCTTTTCATATGCCTTGGCCCTTCATATTCCTACTTTATTCACTTCTTAACACATAGAACTGATACAAATGATATATTGTGAATTGCGCTCAATATTCGTTTATAGATTGGCTTCCTCCTACTTGTAGGTTGTAATTCTAGCAAGAGAATGTGGTTTGAAGCTAGAACTTTCTGATTTACCTGTTCAGAGCCTTGTTCCAGAAAAATTACAGGTGAGTGGTCTAGAGTAATTTTTTGACATGTGGAGTCAAGTCCATTAATTTTTCCTCTCTTGAAGTTGTTTACCAATTAATTACTCCAGGCAAGTGCATCAGCTGAGGACTTTATGCAGCAGCTGCCAACATTTGATCAAGACATGACTAAACAAAGAATTGAAGCTGAAGATGCAGGGGAGGTGAGTTTTCCAACATGTAATTTAAGGCTCATCATCTAAACAGGCCAATATGATAAGTATGGTGTCTCCTTAGGTGGTCCTCAGACATACCATATATATATATATAGGGCCGGGTTCTAGTGCAGCAGACTCCTCCCGTGCAGATGTTGTGGCCGTTTGTGGTGTACTAAGTGTTGGTCTATGGTACACTTAGTAGTAGTCTATGGTGCACCACCAAATGCTGGTACCGTGGTAACATTTTAGTAATTTCAATGATATGCTGGTGCATTTAGATATGTTTGATGGTGCTTTGAGTTCAATGCACCGTTAATCATTCCTGTGTGCACCACAGATCACTACTAAATGCACCACAAACGACAGCACATTTGCACGGGAGGAGTCTGTCGCATTTGATCCGGATTATATATATATATATATATATATATATATATATATATATATATATATATATATATATATATATATATATATATATATATATCAAGTCTGCTATTGATGAGGGCTCTAAAATGGAGCTGAAAGGGTTAAAAGAAATTTATATTTGGCTCTATTTCAGAATCCATGATACTAAGTTCTAGCATACATGGCACCATTGCACCAATGGTTAGCATTAGGAATACTTTATTTGCATCTTTATACTGCAAACTTTGTGCTTTGTCTCACTCTGAACTCTGAAGCCTAGAGTAAGGTGCTTAATTGCATCTTTGTTCTTGCTGCATGGCATTTAATGAGGTTTATCCATCAGGTTTTAAGATATGTTGGGATAGTGGACGTGGCGAACCAAAGAGGGAGTGTAGAACTGCAGAGATACAAGAAAGACCACCCATTTGCTCAACTCTCAGGATCTGATAACATCATTGCATTCACAACCGAAAGGTACTCCAAGCAGCCTCTGATCGTACGCGGCCCTGGAGCCGGTGCTGAAGTTACTGCCGGTGGGGTGTTCAATGACATTCTGCGACTCGCCTCCTATCTTGGTGCTCCCTCATAACTCATACATTCAGGGAGCTTCGCTGGTGGTATGTTTTCATGGTGTTTTAGCCTCAAAATTGCGGGGCATAGCAGCATTTATAGTGAGTGGTTAGCTGAGCCCGAGTTGTGATCGATAATATGTGTCTTTTCAGTAGCTCTTGTTTTCTTTTTTCTGCAAACTATCTCTCTAGCTATGTGTACTCCCTCATAATTCATAGATTCAGGGAGCTGGTGGTGTGTTTCCATGGTGTTTTAGCCTCAAATTTGCTAAGGGGCATAGCAGCATTTGTAGTGGTTAGTTGAGCCTCTGAGTTGTGCTAATGTGTGCCTTTTCAGTTGCTCCTATTGTTTTCTTTTTCTGCAAACTATTATTATCTTTCTATGTTCTGTAAGAACTATTTTCAGTTCCCATAAATTTCATGCTATTGGGCATGTGCAAAATTTGTAGGCATTGGGGTAATTATATTAGAGTATAAGAATTTTTATTTAACAATTGATTTTTGTATTAAATTATGTAACGAATGATAAATATCACAATACATATCAAGAATAAATGTTTAAATATTAACACAAAATAATTAAGTAGTTTGTAATCGGTAGAAGTTTATAATTTTTTATTAACAAAATTTGGATTAAACTTTTATTTCACTAAAATATACCAACAAAAAAATAGTCTCAAGATATCCTATCATACCAACCTTTGAACATCTATACTATAATAGACCAGCAGGGTTTAGCCAATAAAAATGAGTTGGTTTGGAGTCTGAGTTTTTGCAAACAATTTGTAAAAATCTTTTTTTTTTTTTTTTTTTTTTTTTTTTTTTGGGGGGGGGGGGGGGGGGGGGGGGGGGGGGGGGGGTGTGGAGGTAACATGTGGCTTTGAATGTAAGCAGTCCCAACATTTTGAATCATTGTTTTTCTTGGTTAAAATGTTTATTAAGGTTTTTTGTTTTTTTTTTTTTTTTTAGCAAAGTCATTATTTGTCATGAGGTTTTGAGCTTGTTCTTCAAGGTATGCATGTAGTGTAATCATGACTTACGCTAAACATATCATACACAACTGCTTGTATATATACATGCTATAAAGCATTGTGCACATACAGAGTCTAATACAATTTCCGTTCACTACTCATAAACTAACAAGTTAAATCGGTATGTCTGGTCAATTCATCATTTGTTCCAAAATACATCTTGATCATACTAGAAAAGCCATGAGGGTATGTTTGGGGTACACGTATGAAGTTGATGAATCAAGATCAAGGAAATCTGTCAAAAGCATGAAATGTTTGTTTCATGATGTAGAGGTAAGTAATGCACGCATTCATATTTCTTTAAGAAAAATATTTTGTTAATATGCCTTGAGTTAATATAATATGTTGCTTTACCTTAGGGGACTTTTATCTATGTCCATATACCTAACGACTTTGTTACATAATTAAGTTTAAGCATGATATAATTGTCAAGAAGTACAAACAAGTGGAATCCTCTATAAATGTTTCGTTTAAAGTCTTTCAAAGAATTGCTAGGCAAACAACAAGTTGATGAGAATGAATTGATAGGTAAAATTTATCATTCAAGTCAATTTATAATTCTGGTTAAAAAAAAAAAAAAAAAAAAAAAAAAAAAAAAAAAAACAATGTAGGCTGTGGAGATATTCTCCCCATTAGACAAGGTCTATGTAAATCATACAAGGCTTATAGATTTCTTTTATGAGGATGCTAAGTAAGTTCATATTTCATATTGTTTTTCAGTCTCTTTGCTCCTTTTTCATGATTTGAACTTAGATTATTTTGGAATGAAAAAAAAAAAAAAAAAAAAAAACATATTTCATGACATTCTATTTTCTTCTATCTATTTACGGTCAGAAATAGATTAAGTGTAATGTTTGGGATGAACATGTGAATAAGGTTCTTCTGTATTACAATTCTATTATTGATGGGCCACTTATTGCTATGATTTAACTTTGTGGAGTAAAGATTCTGGATAGTGACTTTATTTGGTGATTTCTGTTCAGTTTATTCTATATTTAAAAATAAGAATATGTAATATCATTTTCAGATTATGAAGTACCCTATTGCAAGCTCATTTAATGCATGTTATGCAGCTAATGGACTATGGTTCATCCATGGCTCACCAGAGTTTGAAACTTTTAAGAAGATGTGATTTTATGCTGCATTTGTTATGTTAGCATTATAGTTCCCTCTTTTCGAGCTTCTTTGACCCTATTTTCCTTATATATATCAATTTTACAACTGAGCACACACCATTGAAGGACTATAGATTTTGCAAATAGACTATATGTGGGTAGGTCATATGAATTTTCTGATATGATTACATTGTGGTGATAACTATTGAAAAGTGTACACAAGAAAATAGGTAAGATTGTGTTATGGAAAAAATTAAAAAAAAAAAAAAACTTTCAGTTAATATGATTACTAATTTCACAGTAACTTAATATATCTCTTTTACAGTTAGGAAAATATTGGATTGCAACTAAGATTGTGAGAATTGAGAGTTTAGTTGAATGATTGTCTTGCAAGAGTAGTACGTGTAACAATAAGGTAATGTCACAGGAAGGGGTAATGTATTGTTGTAAGTGCAACAGGACATGACAGGAGGGCACTATCCAGTACAGATTGATAGTGCATTGCATGTTGTTGACAGTACAAAACAAGTGATGCCCCTTTGTTGATATAGGACTGAGTGTGCCGATTTGGTTGACATTCCAGCAACCAATCTGAAGGCTAAGTATCCTCAGGTACCTTTCTATTTTCAGAATTAAATTGGTGTGTGTTATTATTTTTCAAAATAGGAAACAAAAAAGATTCCAAGAGAGTTAAATCGTTGTGGTTGACAATGCTATTTAGAGTTGTAATGAGGAAGGAGCATATGGACAGTTCACATTATGCATTTGTAGGGATGATGCGAATGTTTGAAAATAATGTTCAAGTTTGCTAATTGATCAAGATAGGGACTTGCTTTCAACTATGATTGGTGACTAATTCAATCTAAGCAGAATGCACACATTTTTGTCTGCAATGTGTTCATGTGATCAAGATTTTATTATTAGATGTTCAATCTTGTACGGGTAATATTTTAGGATTGTTTTGGAGAAGATGTGGCTAATGGCTCTTGCTTGGAAGGTTCGTAAAGAGGTGTCTAATGGATGAATATACGTCAATTGAAAGTGCAAAGAAGGCTAAGGATACTAGGAAAATAATTAGTAGATTGTCATGCATTATGTTTAGATTAGAGCATTCTGATCTGTGTAGAAAGTGTTTTTTTTTTGTGGTAATGTGGTATGCATTATTGTCAATGTGGTAGAATATGTTTTAGAATTAAGACCAATATGTTTAGTATTTGGGTATTTTTGTGCTGCTATGTTTCTTGTTATTGCATGATAACTGGTCCTTAATTAGTCTGCATGGGTAGGTTAGCTCAACTGGTTATAAAGGTGAAACTTTGAAAGAATAATCAGGGATAGAGTTCAGCTGAGTTAATGCTCTATTAGGCTATCTTAGGTAGTAACTTCCAAACTTTTATACGTCCTTGTTCCGTGACTCCTCCACTGCAAGGGCTATCTTAGGTAGTAGCTTCCAAACTTTTATTTTTTCATCTTTATTAAAATCTTTTTGTCATTTTCTCTTCTCCTATTTTTTTATACGTCCTCGTTTCGTGACTCCTCCACTGCCAAACATCCTCCTTCTTTTATTTTTTCATCTTTATTAAAATCTTTTTGTCATTTTCTCTTCTCCTATTTTTTTATACGTCCTTGTTCCGTGACTCCTCCACTGCCAAGGGCTATCTTAGGTAGTAGCTTCCAAACTTTTATTTTTTCATCTTTATTAAAATCTTTTTGTCATTTTCTCTTCTCCTATTTTTTTATACGTCCTCCTTCCGTGACTCCTCCACTGCCAAACATCCTCCTTCATCTTCATTCGAACAACTGAGACTACTTGGATTGTTACAAAATGAGCCAAATGAGGTTATTTATACTTGTTTCACCTCCTAAACGGGCGGTTGAGATCTATTTGATTGTATGACAATAATTATATCTCTAAAATCCTCTCTAAAATTTTATACAATCATATGAGTTTTATAATGTTTTATAAGATTTTATAAATCTCTACACTTCTAATATATATATATATATATATATATATATATATATATATATATATATATATATATATTGTGTGTGTGAAGGGTCCAGGTGCGGGTATAGCTTCCCGTGCGGTTGATGCACTTTAAGCATTAAAATGGCGCACCTAAGTACACAAACCACGCACCTTAAACACACAAACAAAGCACCTTTAAGAACATAAATCACACATCTTAAGTACACAAACCACGCACCTTAAGCACACAACAAAGTACCTTAAGAAACACAAACCACGCACCTAAGGTTTTAAAATGGCTCACCTTAAGTTTCACACAATCGACGCACCTTAAGCATACAAATCACGCACCTTAAGAAAGAAAACAATGCACCTTAAGAAAGAAAATCACACACCTTAAGAAGGAAAACCACACACTTTAAGAAGGAAAACCACAAATTAGGTACGCATCACAAAAAACACACCATTAGGTACGAATAAAAGCACCACACAGTGTTCGAAAATTCACCGTTATGGGTGATGAGTTATATGGTGTATTTTTTTTGGTGTGTTGTGTATTTTTGGTGTATTTTTGCATTTCATTGTTGTGTATTTTTCTACACTATTGGTGTATTCTTCAAACGGTCGCACAGGAGGGCGCGACCGCATTTGAGCAAGCTTATATATATATATATATATATATATATATATATATATATACTTCAATCGTGCACATTCTTCTCTTCGAAGTTGTATTGAGATTTTATTTGGAGTATTGAAGAAGAGTTGAAAGATACTTGCTAAAATGCCACAGTTTAGTGTGTAGACCCAAATTGATGCTATTATAACCACATTTGCACTACATAATATTATTTAGAAGAATTCACAAGATGACATGATGTTTAATATGCTTGAGCAGCATCCAAATTACATACCGCCGTATGATCTTCAAGATTCAAGTAGTAATTAATATCTCCATCAATGAAAATTTAAGTGAGACCTCTATTGAGATGAATGAGATTCGCAACAATATTGTTACTTCATTAAGTGATACTAGATCATTATTATGCTAATAGTTTCATTTTAAAATATTAAAATTAAATATGTAAATAAACCTATTTAAATTTAAAACTATTTAAATTTTATGAAGATGTCATTTTTAGTCTTTTTATATTTATCAGTTTATCAAAAACTAATTTTAATTTTTATGTGGAGATGTGTGCATGGTGTTTTACCCACGATGGAGGCCTTGGCTTCGAGACGTATGGATGTATTCATGTCAAACCACTTTGGCATGCTATAAATTGTTCTCCTCTAGTAATTGATGATGATTTCATCTCTTGATTCTCGAAGTGGCTTGCTGG